ACTGGATCAATAAACAACATCATGATAAATGGAGAAAATATTGATGTTGTCAAGGATTTCATTTTATTTGGATCCACAATCAACACCCATGGAAGCAAGTCAAGAAATCAAAAGACGCATATCTTTGGGCAAATCTGCTCCAACAGACCTCTGTAAAGTGTTGAAAAGCAAAGATGTCACCTTGAAGACTAAGGTGTGCCTGACCCAAGCCATGGTATTTTCACTTGCATCATATACATGCAAAAGCTGGACAATGAATAAGGAAGACCAAAGAAGAATGATGCCTTTGAATTGTGGTGTTGCTGAAGAATATTGAATATACCTTGGACTGCCAAAAGAACAAACAAATCTATGTTGGAAGAAGTACCACCAGAATGCTCTGTAGAAACAAGGATGGCAAGACTACATCTTACATACTTTGGACATGTTATCAGGAGGGATCAGTCCCTGGAGAAGGTCAGCATGCTTGGTAAAGTGCAGGGTCAGCAAAAAAAGAGAAAGACCCTCAACGAGATGGATTGACAAAGTGGCTGCAACAATAGGTCAAGCCTAACAAGGATTGTGAGGATGGTGCAGGACCCAACAGTCTTTTGTTCTGTAGTACATAGGGTCACTATGAGTTGGAACCAACTCAACTGCACCTAAGAACAACAACAAAGACTGAGCGGAGAATACAGTTAGGAGGCTTTTTGTGGTAATTCAATGAAAGATGATTGGGGCTTGGGCCAGGATTGTAGAACTGGAGGTGGTGACAAACAGTTTATCGGTTTATTTTAAAGATAGAGTTCACAGGATTTTCTGTTAGATTGGATACGAGGTTCCAGAGAAAGAGAAAAGTCACGAATGACTCCAAGGTTTTAGATCGGAAGAACTGCCATAATGAAGTTACCATTAACATGAATAGGTAAAGCCGCAGGTGAGACAGAAGAAGGGGAGTTTGCTTTTGGACAAGTTGATGTTATGATGGATGTTAAATATCCAAATGTTGATGGCAAGTAGGCAGATGGGTTTACAGATACGTAGTTTCAGAAGAAAGATCTATGCATTAGGAGTCAGCATAGGGAGTGAGCTGAGCAAGAGAGAAGAGATCCAACTCCCAGACCATTGGGTTCTCCAATGTTAGTGATAGAGGAGAAGAAGAGAAAACAGCCAAGGAGACCAATATGAAGCAGTAACTAAAGTGAGAAGGAAAACATGATGGCCAGTGTCCTTAGAAAAGAGAAGAAAGTTTTTCCCAAACAAGGGAATCCTAAAAAAGTGTAAAGTGCTACAGAGAAATCATTAAGATGAACTCTGATAGTTGACCATTCTCAATGTGGAGGCCACTGGTAACATAAACAGGAGCAATTTTAGTTAGGGGCATGGTTTTATCATGATGAGTATTTGAGTTTGTGAGAGAAGAGACAGATTGTATCAAAAAACCATTTCAGGGACGTTAGTATGCAGAGTAGAGGAATGATGTGTGAAGACGTATACATGTAAAACAGGCCTCCCACAATTCCATGGAGACCTACACTTCAATGCCTGAATTTTTCTACTTCTAAAGTTTGGGAAAATCACATAAACTCTGAATCGGAGTCTTCTCATCTATAATGTGGGGGTAATGATGACCTCTTTGAGATTAGTTACAAGGATTAACATAGAAAATATACATACAAAGTCTAGTTATAGCACCCACTCAGGTTTGAGTATCAATAAAAAATAATTAGTAGTGGTTTAGGGACAAATTAAAATAATTGTAATAGTAGTAGTTTTTATTATTATGGTGTAAAAATAAAATTATATGAATGAAATTTACTATTTTGGAATACACTTAAGTAGCAAACAACACTGAATATTTTACATGTCCTTTTATTCACTGAAGAGATTACATATACATCTACATCCGTAGATGTATTTATTACGTACACAAGTAAAATACCACATAAATCTTACGAGGACTTCACAGTAACAATATTAGTTTTCTATTGCTGTGTAAGAAATCATCACATAATTAGCTACTTAAAACCACACCTATTTGTTAGCTCATAATTTTGTAGGTCAGAAATCCAGGAAGGATTGATTGAGTTCTCTGCAAAATCAAGGTGTGAGCCAGGCTGGGCTCTTATCTGAAGACTCTAGAGAAGAATCCACTTCTAAGCTCATTCCGGTTATTGGCAGGAGGTAGTTTGTTGCAGTTGTAGGATGAGATCTCCATTTCCTTGCTAGTTGTCAGTTGGGGGCCACTCTCAGCTCCTAGAGGTCATGTGCATTCCTTTTCCCATGGCCTCTCCCATCTTCAAAGCCAGCAACCAAATATAGAATCCAAATCTCTCTCACTTTCCATTCTGCCACCAGCCCACCGACCACAGAAACTTTTCTGATTTTAATGAGTTCCTGTTATTAGATTAGGTCCACCCAGCTAATTTCCATTTTCTCATATAATGTAACAGTCATTTGAGTAACACCAGGGTTATGAAGGTCATGAAGACATCTTAGAATTCTGCTTAGCACAAGTTATTTCTTAACTTTGAATGCAGTGGATTTTATATTAATGAGATTTTACTGTATGTTTGAGAAATAAATAAACAAAAATTCTCCAAGGGATTTATAAGTTTATTTTAACTGGAGAACACCCTCCCAATCCAAAATTCACCCAATGCTTTGGATGTAGGATGAAAGCACTGTTCAGTGACCAGGCACTAGGTTTCTCCAATTATCAGAATGGTTAAGTTTTTCTCAGGGCCACAGTGAGTCCTGGATGATGGGAAATGCAGAGATCACAGTGGGATATACCAGAATGTAATGAAGAATATACTCAGGGACCTACAAGGTAAAATAATCATTTTATTTTCTATAGGAATCATTAGAGAGAAAATGAAGATAAACTAGGTAACCACTGTCCTCATTGTCACAGCTTCCTAAGGTTTTACCAATTTTTCCTGTCCTTTCTTATGTTCCACAAAATTCTTTCCACAGTTGATGTAAAGCTGGATCCTGCCACCGCTCATCCTAGCCTCCTCTTGACTGCTGACCTGCGCAGTGTGCAGGATGGAGAACTGTGGAGGGATGTTCCCAACAACCCCGAGCGCTTTGACACGTGGCCCTGTATCCTGGGTTTGCAGAATTTCTCATCAGGGAGGCATTACTGGGAGGTCATGGTGGGAGAAAGAGCAGAGTGGGGGTTAGGTGTCTGTCAAGACACAGTGTCAAGAAAGGGGGAAACCACACCATCTCCCGAGAATGGGATCTGGGCCATGTGGCTGCTGAAAGGGAATGAGTACATGGTCCTTGCCTCCCCATCTGTTCCTGTCCTACAAATGGAAAGGCCTCACTGCATTGGGATTTTCTTGGACTATGAAGCCGGTGAAATCTCCTTTTACAACGTCACAAATTGGTCTCACATCTACACATTCAACCGACTGTTCTCTGGTGTCCTCCGACCTTATTTTTTCATCTGTGATATGAATCCTCTTATCTTGCCACCTATCACAGTAGTGGAATCAGAGAATTGGGCATCCAGTGGTCTTCTTGACTCTGCTTCTAATTTTAGAGAAGATCACTCCTAAAACTCTGTTCCCAAGATACATCCCATGCCTAGCAAGGCTCTTGTGGAGCAGAGGATGTAGATATAGTAAGCCTCAACAGATGCCTCCATTTAGGTTAGCATTTTAATCATTGCTGCTATGGAAATTTTCCTATAGGAATAGAAGAGAAAATATGATATATTTGCATTTGGAGGTGCATTGTGGAGTATAATAATTTTAAAAATGGAGCAGTTTCATCAACCTCTATTTCCAGATGGCTCCACAGAGTTTCTTGAAGAGTCTTTCTTCAAATTAATGGACATAGTATTAAAGGAAAATTTCTATACATTCATTGTAATTTCGCATTCCTTTCAATATGCTTTTACTCCATATCTTCCATATATTAAGGATTAGAAATGGAAGTTCTTAAGTTGGTTCAAAGCAGTTCAACATGCATCTTGGTTCCAAGTTTTCATTGTATCTGTTGTTACAACTTCAGATTCATAATACATCTGTTTCTTCTTCTTCGCCTCTTAATCATTCTCATTCTCTCTCTCTCCATCCCTCTCTTCCTCTTTCCTATTCCTTACTTTTCTCTTTTGTTTTATTTCACTCATTGTTCACTCTTCCATTTTCTTCTTGATTAATATATTCAGCATTACTCCTTTATAAACTAAAGTTTCCTATCACTATAGTCAATTATTTTTTAAATCTTTTTTATTCTGGGAACAATTTTTGAGAATTATGGAATTCTTTCCTCTGAACCTAATATCACTGAGTCTTAGAACATACCTATCTGGGATTGCAACTTTTTCCTTTAACTTTAGATATATTTTTATTATTGAAATTTTTCAGAATTTTGATTCAATATATCTGAGTTCTTTTGACCAAGCAATCAATTACTAGTTATAAGACTTCAAAAAAATTATATGTGTATATATATGTATGTGTATATATATATATATATATCTTTACTTCTACTACTTGTTAGAGTTCCTATACTCAGAACACTGATACTGGCCTCACAGTAGTGTGGTAAATATTTAAGGTTATAAAAGAGATTATTTAAATTCAACTTTCCTATGTAAATACTTCTAAAGATGATGATGATGATGGTGGTGATGAAATGATTTATTTTATTCTTAAAGTATATTCTGTGACTTTCCAACAAATTTTCTTAAAGTTGTTGAAGGTTAACTTTGCTGTTGAAGTATCTTTGCTGTCATCTCTCTGTCTGTGTCCAATAAATAATTAAGGACTCCAACTCTCTTAACTGTGAAACAAATTTTAATTACTGGCAAAATCAGAGAATATCTTGATAATCATAATATGTCAGAAAATTTTAATCCTCCCTCCTCTTTCACTCTACAGTGAAGTTCAAGCCTTTTTTTTTCTCTTCCAGGGAGATGTCTTTGACATCCTTCATTTTCCTTTCAGCCATATTATTAACTTAATTTTTTTTTCTAGGCTTTTTAACTACATCATTTTAAGCAAGCAATCCCCCTCTCTGCGTCAGTTCCTCATTTGGAAACAGAAGTAAAATAATGTATTATTATACTCCTCTTGTTCATATTTCACAGGCCATGCATGCATTATGACTCTTCTACCCATGATCTAGGTAGGAAAGAGGTTCATGTGCTGGGTCCCAGCTTACTCCTATAATCAGGGGTACAATGGGGGCTGGCATCTTAATGTATGCGGCTGGCTTTGCTGGAAGGTGGTTGCTCCATTACCAGGAGTCATAACAGAGAGGATTCTTAGAGAAATAGGGCCCTTCCCTCAGAGTTCAAGAGAAAAAATAGTCACTGGTCTAAGAGAACACCTCCCCTGGTGACGTGGTGCTGAGGCTGTCCACACATGCTTACTCTTCATGGGGTTGATAGGAAGTCCCAAGGTGCCCCTACCCTACCACCTAACCTAACAGCCTGATCTCTATCTCCCTTAAATTCTGCCATCTCATTATGCATTTTATCATGGTTTATGTCTGTCACTAAGTGAACCTAAGCCTTTCTTTATCCCCTGCACTTTAAGCTTCACAAAATTTTGTGCATCTCCTATTATGCACCTTTTCTCTCCCTCCTTCTCAACTCCTAAAAGCCTTCTACTGTTCTCACTGGAATTCTGATTCATTACCAGCAAAATCCTCTAAATCCAAACCTGTTACCTGACATTCCCATTACCTTCTTCCTCTAACCTTTCTCCTGAACACCAGACTTACATATTCAGCCGTCCACTTGACTTCAATGTGGACATTTTAAACTCAGTATCCTTATAACTTAACCCTGAACTTCACCAAGACCCCTCCAAACAAAACCAAAAACAAACAAACACAAGTGTCTCCAACTCAATGAGTGACAGCTCTATCCTTTCAATTATTTACGCCATAAATATGGTTGACTTCTCTCATGATTTCACCAGCCCATATGCAGTGTATCAGTAAACACTTCTGGCTCTAATTTAAAAATATATCCAGAGTTCACCTAGGCCTAACTATTTCATTGCCATAGCCATGGTTACTGGATTACTACATTAGTTTCCTAGCAGCACTCCTGGCTCTACTCCTGTCCTTACTACATCCATTCTCAGCACAGCAGCTGGACTGATCCTTTTAACAAGCAAGTCAGATGTGCCAATCATCTGTGCAACACCCTGTACTGACTTCTTATTCAACTTAGCTTTAAAGCCAGAATTTTCACCATGAAATCTAAGATGCTAGAGAATCTGGCCTCTAGTCCATTTTCTGATTCCCTCTGCCTCCACGTAATTCTCTTATTCATTCTGCTCCCCACCCCACTGGCCTCCTGGATGGGTCTACACCTTAGTGCCTTTCTTCTAGCTGTGTCACTGCTCAGAATTCCCTTCCTCCAGATCCCCACTTAATTCTTTCTTTTCTCTCCTTTAAGCCTGCTCAAATCCCAGCTTCCTAGGGAGGACTTCACTTTTAGTATGGCAACTGACAGGCCTCAGAGTTCACCCTCCCAGTTCTCTACACCGGAGTTCAGAAGTAGTTCTTATTTTCCGTATAGTACTTATAGACTTCTAATATATAATTTCCTTATTTATTAGGTTTATTTTGATCTTTTGTCTTTTCTTGATAGAACGGAACTACCATGAGGGCAGGAATCTTTGTCTATTTGTCCATTGACATATACCGAGCACCTAAAACCTGTTCGTACATGGTTATCACTCAATGTCTGTTCGTTGAATGAATATATGTTTGAATATCTAGAGGACAGAATTAAATGATAGACCTGAAAGTGTTTTGTTTTGTGAATTGTAAAATATTACAGTATTATTATTTATAAGTAAGCAACCACAACCAATAAAATTTAATGTCAAGTGCTAAATGAGTAAAATCAATTTTTAGGTATGGAGACATTTTGAATAGAAAAGTAAGCTGGTAGAGATGATAAAGTTCAGTGACACAATAATTTGACAAGCCTAGGAGTTGTCTTATTAAGTTTCCTATAGTCTTGGTTTTCTAAGACATCACAATGACACTCTTGAATTATGCATTGCTTCCTACTCACTCCACATACCACCTCTCAAAATGTTATACTCTCTAACTCCCTAGGAATTTAGGGAACTTTCTAAAAACTTATAAGAGCTAATAACTTTTTTTTTTTTTTAAATTGACTCTTCCATGCTTTATGCGCCTCTCTTTGTCTGAACTGTATAGCAGAAACACCTTCTCTACATGCATGAGGTCTTGGGTCTCCTCTCCTCCCCACCTCTTGCCCTACTATTGTGCACCCATCTGTTATTATACATTGGATTTTTTTCTAACACAAATCATTATGATTTTATTTTTCCTTTCTGACACGTCCTTAAGCACTACCATCACAATTTTCCAAATTACTTTCTTCCCAATAAAAATTGATTAAAACATCAAGCCCCAATATTAGGCTCTATTTTTGCCTAAGCTCTAACTCTCCACAGTGATGTGTATATTTTAGCAGATAACTGAATGATTGTTCAAACAATTAATATGATTTTTTTCACCCTAAATAATTGGTTTATTAAGTGACTCAAATAATTATTCTGGCAGGTTAGGAAAACTCTGACTAAAGAGAACTGTGCAGTGTGATGGAATACTTTTGTGTAGCCCTTCTCACCATGGTCTTGTTAACTCCCACCAAATGATTGGGTGGGACCATACTAATAAGATATATGGAACCTAATGAGGGGATTGGTCGGTTTTGCTATCCTGCTGGGCTTGAAATGAGGATATCCCAGAGGCCGGAAAGAGAGTATCCCACCACCATCAAGGAAGAACTGCCAGGAGCAAAGAGCATGTCCTTTGGACCCAAGATCCCTGTGCTGAGAAGCTACTGGACCAAGGAGACAGAGAGTGAGCTGTAACCCTGAGGGCAGTGAGAAATGGTGGCAGAGAAATGACAGCAGACAGGACTGGTAGGAGACCACGCAGCAGACTTCCCAGCCCACAGAGCGAGAAAGCTGAGTGTCTTTGGGCCAAGGCTTATTAGCAGAATGGGGTGCCTGTGGGCACTTATTGGCAGAGGCTAAAAGAGCTTTTTAACACTTGCCTGAGCAGAGCAGAGGCCTAAGGCAAGAGAGAGGTTTCCCTGTGAGCAAAGCTGAAAAGAGGCTGTCTTGATGGAAGAACTGTTTCCTCAGTGTTCCTGAGCCTAAATTGTAATCTGTTGCTTCCCTAATAAACCCCATAATTGTGAGTATGGGCTGTGAGTTCTGTGTGGCAACTGCACTGAACTATTGAACCCAGCAGAGAAGTAGAGAGTGCCGTGGGAGGGACGATTGATATTAGAATTGGTAAAGATGGCAGAGAGAGGAGGCATATTTGACCTCTGCCTCACAGGACTCAGCCTTATGCTGTTGATCTTGATTCTCCTTCCCATTTATGAAGTTAGAGGAGGTCAGATACTGCCTCCAAGCAGTTTTTTACAAACTGAGAAGAGGATGATTCATGGGGATGGTGGTGAGTGGGAAATAAAATAGCCTCATTAGCAGGAAGAAAGAATCGAGCAAATTTAAAATGGTAATTTTTTCTCATAGGGTCCCAAAGGACAGAGAAATGAGGAACTCTGGAGTTTATTAAACCCATCTGCTCTTCAAGCACTCTATGCCTTCTATGCACACTTTCTGTATGCATACCAGGCCTTTCATGTATCCTCTTTTCTATTATTCAGAGACGATGAAGGAGATAGCCTCCACATGCATAGAATATGTATTCTACAAATCTAAAACATGTTCACCTATATAGAATATTTTCTTTACTTTCTGATTCTGTGATCTACGCAAAGCTACCCAAGTAACCATCTTGATAAATTTCTTAGTCAATTGACTCTAAATAGGTAGTCTGAGTTTTCTCTGATACTGCCTTGCTGATTACAGAGACTCCAATTTTATTTATTTATTTACTTTGTTTATAAAATTTCAGCCATATTATGTCATTTTAGCCTTTACAAGTAGACTAATAACATGATTGAATATTGACAATCAAATTGATCAGGGAGTTTGTAATTGCTGAATTCCCCCTAGTTAGTTTTTGAAACTAAAGTATAAATCCATATATACTCTCATACTCCTTTCAAACACAAAAGAAATATAACAAAATAGTTTACAAAGTTATCGTCTTCATTTAATAATAAGACTTTCTATTTATCAATATACCTATGGAATTCTTACACTACTTAGGACAATGGATTCTTTCCTTTTCATATACAAAATTATAGTAAAAAGAACATGTAAAATTATGTATGCCCTATTTTCCCTAAATCTAAAAAAAAGCATGATCCTACATGACCTTGTTCCAAGTAGGATGGGAGTGATTATGCCTCAGCTGTTTTCCAGCCACATAATAATGCTTGGGAACAGGGGAAGGCAGTAAATGGCTCATCACTGTTTATGTCCTCAGAACAACAACGGTTTGATTCCCGATTTTAGTTACATGAGATAGTAAACACTTTCTATATCAAGGGACAAGTTCTCATGGTCTTCATTTTCTGTCTGGACCCCATGGGAGATTGGAGAGTTTGAGTAAAGCATTCCTACTACATGCCTCAGTGTACAAGTTAATGACCCCTTTGAAATCAGAAGTTCAGGAGTTCCCTGGGGCCTGGGGCTTCTGATGAGCCCAGACTGCCCTCAGGACCCCTTCCCAATCTTTCCTCCAGAGGGCTGTATCCCTTCTCTGCTTGCCATAAACTCCCTCTGCACAAATATTTTGGTCCATTGAATTTATAGATGAGTGGGCTACACTGGAGAGAGGTACCTCCAGTCTGTACACATCTGGAACTGCCGCTGCCTGGAGTGCCTGTGCGTACCAAGGAGGGGAGAATACATTACATTAGCTTAGCGACTAACATCTTCCAGCTAGATCTGCACCTTCTGCCTCCTGACATTGATGGTAACTCTTAGCATGCAAGTAAAAATGGTGAATCACTTTCTGGATTTATAGGCTCAATTCAGAGTTCAGCACTTGTCAGTTGGTTTGTTCAATAGAAAAAGCCATGTGGAGTTCCCCAAA